ATTATTATTATTATTATTATTATTATTATTATTATTATTATTATTATTATTATTATTATTATTATTATTATTATTATTATTATTATTATTATTATTATTATTATTATTATTATTATTATTATTAGTATTATTAATTATTATTATTAATACTACTATAAGGATATAGTGATTGTTATATTCATATCAAATAATTCGTCAGAGTTTATTTCATTTATGAAACCAGTTTATTTTTTTTCTTTTATGTTGGATAACTTTTTTTCCTATTAATTTTCGAAGTTGCAAAGTTATTATGTTGCAGTGTTTGTTCGTTAACACATCATAATTTGATAAATTATTGAAAGAAGAACAAAATGGAACCAAATTTTTTTGTATGTGTTATTATTGTCATCATTTGTTCATTTCCTAATTTTTTTTTTGTTTTTTTTTGATTAAAGTCAAAGGTTAAAGAATGCTAATATCACTAGAATTCTTTTATTGCAATTACAATTACATGACATTTTTTATAATCTAATTTAACTTATACATAATTCGTATCAATCAGTCACTATGAAATTAGCCATTTTGTCTTCATTCAATATTTAATTACAACGTCAATCTTCCTTTCGAATGATCTTTTACCGTCTTTTTTTTTTGACTTATTTAATCACAAATATTAGATAAATGGTCAATGGTATTGTAAAAATGAGTCAAATTTGTCAAATGAATTAAAAAGCTTAATGAGTGGAATAAACAAAGAAAGAGTGTTGGATCGAAAATGTATTGATGAATAGCCAAGCATCATGTGAGTCTCTTTAAGATTTATTCTCAATAACTTATCGCATTAATTAATATCAATTACAAGTAGATGAGGAAATAAATTCCAAATTAATGAATCTTGAACATTCAAATGTTAGTAAAATAAACGTTATAAAGACAAAATGAGAAATGAAAGTTAATGTAATTCAACGAGTAAATTAAGCTCAAAAAGTTATGTCTGCGAATAACTGAGATTAGTAAAATTAAATTCATACAAGTTTTAATATGTTGAAATTTTCAATAAAAAGTGGAGTAAAATTCAAAAAAAAACGAATTAACGAAATTGGTGTAATTTTTAGGATTTTAAACTAATCGAAAATCGAAATAATAATATAAAAAGATGACTAGAACTATTCTAATTAATTAATTAAACAATCCGTAATTGCTGATGATCACAACAACAATAATGATACTAGGATTTCTAAGGTTCAACATTACGATTCGAATAATAAGCAATAACCATTCACAATTATGAGTAATAATTATACTAATAATAGTAACAATGATAATATTAACATTTAT